AGCAATATTATTGTCAAATGTTGATGTTATTCACCTACAAAAACTCCTGGCTGTCCGTTGCTGTCATGGGGTGCGGAGGGTTAAATAGCAGCGCACATCTGAAAATAGCTTAACATACTCATGGTCCCTTTGTGGTTAAAGGCTAATTACATAAAGCACTTTTATACTGTTAATAAAATCCTCACATTAAGTACCTTAGAAGGGTTTTTAATAACTTTCAAAAGTGTCATTAGTTGGTTGTTGACTTCACAGTGACGGTTGCAGTAAAGACGCGCAAAATGTGTTCATATTTCTCATCCCTGTCTTTAAAACACAGTAAACAAGTAACATTGCATTATCTTGAACAGTGATCTCAGTTTTATCTCTTAAAAAATAAATCAATAGTTAGAAAATTTCTGTCTCGAACTGAGTCTGAGAAATTTGTCGGTGAATCATATCACAAAGATTAGATTATTGTAATGCTCAGTTTGCTGGATTATCAAAGTCATCACAACACCAGCTCTGAAATTTGACTGCATCACCTCACTTCACTGGATCTCAGGTCAACACCTTTAAAATCCTTCTATTAGTTTATAGAACCTATCAGGTCATCGGCGGCAGATCTTTCAGTTACTGTGGTCCCCTTCTTTGGAACAATTACATCTGTACATACACTCACTATAGTGTATGGGTGTGTGTACTTTGTCTTTGACGTGTAATTTTGCTGTTTTTACTGCCTTAAGGCATCGTAAACCTACAGTTTTTTATGGTTTTATTTTCTATGTTAAGGACATCGAATTTGCCGTCTAAGTCTAATTGTCATTACCATTCAGTAGCATCGAAAGCACACTGTGTCAAGTTCAAACAGTTCATTGGGTGCAGTTGATAGCAATATCCAGCGATAAACTCCAACTGACTGACATCATGTAATAAGAAGAGAAAAGAAGTCAATAGTCTGTCTGCAGTTATTTCATAACTTGATGGGTGCATCCAGTTTGGCGGGTTATAAATAGGCATCTAATGTTAATATTCAGCAGTTAAAGTGCTTAAATGCAATGCCCCAAGCCTCTTGGATGAAATTAAAACTGTCATAGAGTCACCTACGAGTCGAACTGTTACTGACCCTTGCTTGCCTCTCAAAGATTTCAGCTAGATGGTGATAGCCTCTGGGTCTGTTTATGTTATTTAAAGACATGCTGCCAAAACGGTCTGAATTGCACTTTGGCAAAATAATGACTTAAGTGTCAAATTGTGCTGGGAATTTCCCCCTAAACTTGTTTTCTGCACCCTGTTGAAGTGCCGAGGTTCAGCCTAAGGGTGCACAATACTGATCAGTGGCAATCAGTTAATCTAATATGATTATGTCTGACTAACAACCTTCAAGAAACTGCAGGCTTTTGTGGCCACGAAGGTCAGGAGGCAGTCAAACTCAAAGGACTTCTATGAAGTTATTAGTTTAAAATGCTACATTTGATTCCTGCACATATAATCAGAGATCAGTTACATTAGTTTAAAAAAAATAAAACTGTATGGCTCGGACTTCAATATGTTTTGTACAGCTCCCCTCTGATTGCACTAAGATTGTTAAATTAGTACGTTTTTGCGGCGACATTTAACTACGTCAGCTGAGTGTTTTGGGATATCGAGCCTTTCTCATAAATGTGGTCATTTTAGGCATTTTAGACACTGTGAACAACTTACAGTAAACTCTGCTTTTTTTAATACTCCAAATATGTAATACGTAAAATTAAAAATGCTGTGCTGGAGCTCAGGATATACACTTATGGCCACTTTATTAGGGAGAAGCAATTCAATGCATTTAGGCATGTAAATATGGTTGAGATGACCTGCCAGAGGTCAAACTGAGCATCGGAATTGGGATGAAAGGTGATTTAAGTCGATGTGGCATGGTTGTTGGAGCCAGACAGGCTGGTCTGAGTATTTCAAAAAATGCTGATCTGCTTGGATTTTCCCACACAATCAACTCTGAGGTTTACCAAGGAGAAACTATCCAGTGAGCACCACTTCTCTGGGTGAAAATACCTTGCTGATACCAGCGTTGTTTTGAAAACTAGTTAATGCATTTACTATTTTTATTGTTATTTATTTAGGACTACTGTAATACACAGACACTCTCTGTGGGCTTGTAATGATGCAGTGAGTTTTCTTCTTCACTCACTATGTGTTTATATAGCTCATCATCAGGCATGTGGAGGAGTGCGGGGTGCGGAAGGGGTTTGGGCATCTTGGGCATTTTTTGCTGCCTTGGATGAGTGACAAAACGTTTCTCCCACTGAAAACGCTACGACCACATGAACCTTTTGGGGTATATAGGCACATAGGACAGTCTGTTAAAAACAGCTTATCTTTTTTGAACCCATGAGGTCGTTGTGGCATTTATGGATCAGTGTTGGTGCTGAAATGGGGAGAAGGTTTGATGTTCAGACTTTGTTTTTGTGGGGAAATTTTTACAAGGAATTACCTTAAGGGGGACTCATCACCCTGAAACATGCAGATGTATGCAGCAGGTTTGGGTTTAGACTGTCTTACAGCCTGCTTTACGTGGCCTTATATCTCAAGATGCAGGAAGGTTCCATTAGCTTGTATTATGGGTGCTCTTCCTACAGGAGATAGCAAAGAAAGTGAACTGCAATTAGCTATCCATACATACATACATCGATACATACATTTTCTTATACCTGGTCAAAGCTGGATTGTGGTGGCAGCCATTCTTTCCAGTTCCTCCTGTGGGATCCCAAGGCCCTCCTAAGCCAGATGAGATGAAAGTTGGTTCTGGATCTACCTCGGTGTTCCCTGAAAACCTCAAAAGGAAGACACCAGTTTGCAATACCAAGGGTCAAAATGCCCAGGCCCCTCTTTTTGCCTTACATCCAGCCCACCCCAGTGCCTGCTCCTATGGGC